GCTTCTACGATTTACTATATTAAGGAAAGGTCCATTTATTACTATGCTTTCTACTGTCTTTAGCAAAAATGTGTTTTGGATTTGACTAAAGCCTTTTCTGCATCCAGTGATATAATCACATAGTTTTATTTGTATTAACATGATTCATCATGCAGCATTGGAAAGTCAGCATAGTTTTAAGCTTTAATAAGTATTAAGACCTTTTGAACCTATGAAAAGTTTGAAAGTCTTTTCAGTCTTCTTTATGAAATACAACCCTGCATTCCTAATATAAACCCAACAAGATCATAGTTTGTAATCTTCCTATTTTGTAGCCTGTTTGCTAATATTTGATTTAAAATTTTTGTATTAACATTCCTCATGGATTTTTTTTTGGTATTGCATAAATTATATTCTTTATTTAAAAGTTGCTAAATAGGGGCAACTAGGTGGCGCAGTGGATACAGCATCAGCCCTGAAGTCAGGAGGACCTGAGTTCAAATCCAGCCTCAGACCAAACACCTGACACTAGCTGTGTGACCCTGGACTTAACCCCAATTGCCTTGACCTGGGAACTCTGGAATTTGGCTACAACATTCCTAGGAGTTTTCCTTTGGGAATCTCTTTCAGGAGGTGATCAGTGGATTCTTTCAATTTCTATTTTACCCTCTGGTTCTAGAATATCAGGGCAGTTTTCCTTGATAATATCTTGAAAGATGATGTCTAGGCTCTTTTTTTTTGATCATGGCTTTCAGGTAGTCCAGTAATTTTAAAATTCTCTCTCCTGGAACAATTTGGAACTATGCCCAAAGGGCTACAAAAATGTGCATACCCTTTGATCCAGCAATAGCACTTCTAGGGCTATATCCCAAAGAGATCAAACAAATGGGAAAAGGACCCACAGGTACAAAAATATTCATAGCAGCTCTTTTTGTGGTGGCAAAGAATTGGGAATTGAGAGGATGCCCATCAATTGGGGAATGGCTGAGCAAGTTGTGGTATATGAATGTAATGGAATATTATTGTTCTATAAGAAATGATGAACAGGCTGACTTCAGAAAAACCTGGGAAGACTTATATGGTCTGATGCTGAGTGAAGTGAGCAGAACCAAGAGGACTTTGTACACAATAACAGCCACGTTATACAATGACTAAGATTGTTAAACTGAACCCTTCTCAGCATTATGAGGATCTAAGACATCTCCAGAGGCCTCGGGATGGAAAATGCTGTCCACATCCAAAGAAAGAAATATGGAAGTCAAATCGCTATCATTTATTTTTACCTTCTGTTGAGTTTTGTTTCATCTTTCTGATGGTTCCTCCTATTGGTTTTAATTTTTACTTACAACTTCACTAATGTAAAAATATGTTTAATGGGTATGTAAATATAAAGCCTATATCAGATTGTGTGCCTTCTTGGGGTGGGAGGGAGGAAGGGGGAGACAAATTTTCAACTCAAAAGCATATGGAAGTGATTGTTGATAAATCAAAATAAATTAATAAAATTAAAAAAAATTCTCTCTCCTGGATCTATTTTCCAGGTTAGTTGTTTTTCCAATGTGATATTTCACATTGTCTTCTATTTTTTTCATTCTTTTCATTTTGTTTTACAATGTCTTGATTTCTTATAAAGTCACTAGCTTCTATTTGCTCCATTCTAATTTTAAAGTATTTTCTTCTTCAAGCTTTTGGACTTTCTTTTCAATTTGGCCAATTCTGCTTTGTAAGGCATTCTTCTCCTCACTGGCTTTTTGGACCTCTTTTGCCATTTGGGTTACTCTGTTTTTTTAAAATTAATTTTAGTTTTCAACATTCACTTCCACAAGATTTTGAGTTCCAAATTTTCTCCTCATCTTGTCCCTCCCTCCACCCCAAGATGGCATGCATTCTGAATACCCCTTCCCCTAATCTGCCCTCCCTTCTATCTCTCCCCCATTTATACCCTTCCCCTTCAATTTTCCTGTAGGGTAGGACAGATTTCTATACTCCATTTCCTGTATATCTTATTTCCCAGTTGCATGTCAAAACAATTTTTTTTAACGTTTACCCTGTCCCTCCTTAAAAGTGTTTGCTTCCAATTATCCCTCCCCTCTATCATCCCCCTGCTCTCTTGTCCCCTTCCCCTCCTATCTTCCTGTAGGTTAGGATAAATTTCCATACCTAATTGTTATTCCTTCCTTAAGCCAAATCTATGAGATTAAGATTCACTCATTCTCTCTCACCTTCCCCCACTTTCCCTCCACTGTAAAAGCCTTTTGTCTGTTTTACGTGAGGTAATTCACCACATTTTACCTCTCCCTTTCTCCTTCTCCCAGTATAATCCTCTCACCCCTTAATTTTATTCTCCAGATATCACCCCTTCATCTTCAACTCACCCTGTGCCCCCTATCCATCTGTATCTATATACACATTCATATAATTTTTCCCTTCCAACTACCCTAATACTGACAAAGGTCTCATTAGTTACAAATATCATCTTTCCATGTAGGAATGTAAACAGTTCAACCTTAATAAATCCCTTATGATTTCTCTTTCCTGTTTACCTCTTCATGTTTCTGAGTCTTATATTTGAAAATCAAATTTTCTGCAACTCTGGTCTTTTCATCAAGAATGCTTGAAAGTGCTCTATTTCACTGAATGTCCATTTTTTTTTCCCCTGAAGGATTAGACTCAATTTTGCTGGGTACATGATTCTTAGCTGTAATCCTATCTCCTCTGACCTCCGGAATATCATGTTCCAAGCCCTCTGGTCCCTTAATATAGAAGCTACTAAATCTTGGGTTATCCTGATTGTGTTTCCACGATACTTGAATTTTCTTTCTGGCTGCTTGCAATACTTTCTCCTTGATCTGGGAACCCTGGAATTTGGCTACAATATTCCTAAGGGTTTTCCTTTGGGGATCTCTTTCAGGAGGTGATCAGTACCTCAGTGGATTCTTTCCATTTCTATTTTACTGTCTGATTCTAGAATATCAGGGCAGTTTTCCTTGATAGTTTCTTGAAAGATGATGTCCAGGCTCCTTCTTTGATCATGGCTTTCAGATAGTCCAATAATTTTTAAATTCTCTCTCCTGGATCTATTTTCCAGGTCAGTTATTTTTCCAGTGAGATATTTAATACTGTTTTCTATTTTTTCATTCTTTTCATTTTGTTTTACTATGTCTTGATTTCTCATAAAGTCATTAGCTTCCAATTGCTCCATTCTAATTTTTAAAGAAGTATTTTCTTCAAGTTTTTTGACTTCCTTTTCCATTTGGCCTATTTCGCTTTTTAAGGCATTCTTCTCATTGGCTTTTTGGACTTCTTTTGCCATTTGGGTTAGGCTATTTTTTAAGGTGTTATTTTCTTCAGTATTTTTTTGGGTCTCCTTTAGCAAGCTGTTAACTTGTTTTTCATGATTCTTGTATCACTCTCATTTCTCTTCCCAGTTTTTCCTCTGCTTCTCAAAATCCTTTTTGAGTTCTTCCATGGCCTGGGACCAATTCATATTTTTCTTGGAGGCTTTGGTTGTAGGAGCTTTGACTTTGTTTAGTCTTCTGGTTGTATGTTTTGATCTTCTTTCTCACCAAAGAAAGATTCTATAGTCAGACTTTTTTTTGCGACATTTGCTCATGATCCCAGCCAATTACTTGAGTTACAAACTCTATTAAGGTAGAGTTCTGCTTCCAGTGTGGAGAATGTACTGTCCCAGGCTTCGGGGGTTTTGTGTAGCTGTTTTCAGAGATACTTCTAGGGACCTGTAAATTTTCAGTTCTTCCAAGGTGGTATGATAAAGGGTGAGCTGTTTACTCATTTCCTCTGGTCTGAATAACCACAAGCACTTTCTGCCTTGAACTGTGAGGAGGATATCCTTTACACCACCCCTACAAGCTCTACCATGCCAACACTCCTCCTCATCCCAGGATCGCCAACCAGAACTGTGACTCAGGTTCAAACATGGGCAAAGCAAGAGAATCATACACCAGCAAAGAGATCCCTGCAATCCCCCTTTGATCAGCCACTGGATTCCCCCTCAGTCTGTGGGCCAGAAGCTCCAGAAGCAGCTGCAGCCCCAAGGCTGTGCACAGGGACTGGGACCAAGCTTCTCTTACCACAGTCACAGACTTTTCTTACTGACCTAAGTTGTCTTTGCCATTCATGGGTTGAGAAGGCTGGAAACTGTCACAGCTGCCCGCGGATTCAGTCCTCTGAGGGCTGCTCCAGCCCTGCCCAGCACAATATACCCTTCCAATCAACCATCTAGGTTGTCTTGGTCTGGAAATTTGTTTCACTCTTTTTATGGGTTCTGCTGCTTTAAAATTTGTTTAGAGCCATTTTTTTACAGGTATTTGGAGAGGTTTGGGGGCAAGCTCAAGCAAGTTACTGCTTCTACTCTGCTATCTTGGCTCTACCCATCATGGATATTGATCTAAAATTTTCTTTTGTTTTCTCTCTGGTTAGGTATCATGATTATACTTGTACTATGGAGATTAGAATTTTCTTATTACTGCCAACAATTCATGTAAACCTGGAATTGTTCTTTGAATGTTTGATAGAATTCACTTGTAAAACCATCTGGTTCTTGAGTTTTTTCCCCTCCCTTTGGCAGTTTGGTTATGTTTTGTTAGTTTCTTCTGTTAATGGATTAAATTATTTCATACCTGTTAAGTATTCACCCATTTCCTCCACTTTTACTTTGTTCTCAGGTTCAAAGAATTCTAGGCAGTTTTCATTTCTTGAAATGTAGTATTCTAGGTTATTTTGGGAGGGAGGTAGTGGGGAGATACCTACCTGAGGATGGGTCACAATTTTCAGATAGTTGGATAATCCTTATATCACCTTTTTCCTTACCTGTTTTGGAGGTCAGCTTTAAACATACACACACCACATTTCATTGAATAATTTTGTTTGGCCCATTCTAATTTTCTGGGCATTCAGTTCTTCAGTAGTTTTCTACTGTCTATTCTGAGATGAGAGATTTCCTTGCCATTCTTTCTTCCCTAGCTCATCCATTTTATGTCTTGTGTTTAATTTTTTCCCAGGTATTTTTGGGAATCTTTATAGCCAGGATGTTTTTTTCTCCATGCTTTGGTTGTCCTGTAGGATCGCTCTTCCTCACGGTTTACCCTATGGACATGTCTCAGTGCACAAGGTATTTCCTCATAGTTTTTGGTCTTGGGGGGTGGGGGGGCAGGGATGGACAGGGTGGGAGAGGCATAAGAGGATACATGCTTGTGCTGGGCACTTTTCCTTAATTCCTGAATGGCATGGGAAGGCCAAGATTAGGCTCTTCCTTCAAAGGACTCCGGGGTTGCTATTGATCTGGAATCTGCCTACAGCCTCCTTGCCACAGGGCCCTAGGGGAGATACTTGCATTAGCCTCTGACTTCAGTTCTTCCCCAATATTACTGGACTTTCTTCACCCAGTTTTGGGGTCAACCTGGGTGGTTGGCCTTTTTTCCTGCCAGATAGATCTGGGCCTCTCCAGTTGCCCTGAGGCTTTGTGCAGACATTTTAATATCCCTTGTCTACTTCAGTGCTCCTGCAAGATTCCAGCAGTCCTTCTGTGCACCCCTAGGCTGAGTGGAGGAGTCTGTAAGTGATTTGCCATATTTTCCCAGTTAACGGTGCATTTTAAAATTTTACTGTGGTGTTTTGCAAGGGATCTGGGCTCCTCTGGGTCCTAGTCTGCAACCATCTTCCTACAATTCCTCCTGCAGAGTTCAGATTTTTAAATTCTCTTATTTTCTAGGTCATTAAAAAAAATACCTCGTTTCTATTTTTCAGCTATATATACATATATTTACTTATTTATTTATCTTGGAGTTGTTTGTTCCATGCCATTTTTCAGAGTCCACGACTTGGGTAATGTTTCTCACCTGTTTTCAACCCCTTCTCCAGGAGTGTTACCCATTCTCTACTTCATTTCAGCTAACTTTCTTAGATTCATTCTTACAGTCCTTATATCTAATTCATTTTTTTTCTTCAGGGGTTCTAATTGTTTTACAGAAATATTTTCTTCTTCTGAGATTTCCTCTTGGGACTCTCTTAAACCAAATTTTATCATTAGCAGTGTTTCCCCCCCACTATTTGTCATCAGCCTACATTCCTGGTTGAGGATTTTCTGCCCCTTCACACCATCTTGGATGGTGTAACTAGGTCCTGTCTCCCCGATGCTGTCCCAGAGTGGGACACTACTGTACTAGAACACTACTAGGTCCTGCTCCTGCTGCAACCTGCGGTTTGTTCCCAGTCAGTTCTCCAGCCTAATGGGGCCCCAATCAAAAGGTCACATTAGTGTCCACCACATCCCCTCATACAGCACCAACCAATGAAATGCACTGGCTTCAGGCCCTGGTCCCTCCTCTGAACAGGATGTTTGTAGGCTTCGGGCAATTTCATAGTGTGGTCCTGGAATGAATATATACATATTTACTGCTGTTTCTCTAGTTTTATGGAATATTTGTTTCATCTGAAGCTTTACTGTTCCTGAAGTGTTTCTCAGGGGAGTGTAGCTTAGTTGGAACCTTTCACATTGTAATCTTTGCTAGAAGGCCCCTGTCCTCTAAAGCTGGCCTCTCTGCCTTCTGAGGGACCATTATTATTTGTCCCCTTTTTAACATCTTCAGTATTTCCCCTACAGACTTACGCACTCCCACATTATCTTGAAACTGTGTGTGGAGGGGAACACCTTGGCTCTTTCAAACACATGCTTTAGTCTTCATCCCAGTGCATCATATCTCCATGTCTTCATGCCTGAATTACAATAATCTTCTTCTAACTTGATTCCTGTCTCCAGTTTCTCCATTTCTAGGTTTGTCCCATATATTTCTGCCAGACTGTAAAACGCTTTCATCAAATAACTTCTCTGCTCAAAAAGTTACAATTTCCTATTAGTTTAAATCCAAACCTGAGTTTAGTGTCCAAGTTCTACTATCAACTTTAAATTTCACTTCTTCCCCAAACATCATCTGAACCTCAAAGCAAGGCTATATGCATCATTTGTTCCTTGATCAATAGCAAAGACTTTTGCAGTCCTCTCTGATAAGTTTTTGCCCCTCTGCTCCTACATATAGATCCTTTAAATACAGGACAGGGTGCCTTTGAGATACAGCTAAAGCCCCTAAAGGCTTTTAAAATACCATCTTTTTTTTTCTCTTAGAATTAACTCACATTTATTAATAACTTACATTGTAAACCATAAAACATTTTTAGGCTTACAAAGCACGTTCCTCACAACAACCCTGTGAGGTAGGCAGTGCAAGTATCATTTTTGATTTGCAGATTAGGAAAATGAAGCCCAGAGACGTTAAGTGACTTTTCCAAGGGGTCACACAGCTAGAAAGTATCAAAACTAACCACTGAACTCCAATCCTCTGACAAGCCTTTTCACACTTACAAATGCAATGTTTCACAATCACATTTGTATAGCGCCTCCCAGTTCCCTAATTGCTTTGTGTCCCCATGGCCAAAAATTTTTGTCACCTAGTCGCCAACTTACTTTTGATAAGCCTCTCCAAACTGAGCTACATTGGTCCTTGGCCAACAAATTCAAGTCTCTCTTAAAAAAAAAGAAGAGAAAAAAAGGCCAAATTAACCACCAATTTGCCAGTTTTGGCTTCAAATTTTGGGGGGGAGGGGAGGGAGGGAGGGAGAAGTCCAGAATCAAAGTACTACTGAACAGTATTCCAAAGACTTTGCCACAGGTTTTGGAGACAATTCTGAAAATGTTTTGAGCAACAGCACCCTCACAAGAAGCAAGGTCACTCCACGTCCCTGCTCCTGACCCATCACCACATTTAAGGGAATAGCTCGGTCACTACATTCTGGTCATCTCATACTCATGCAGTGTAACACCAAAGAGATTGTAATGTTCTTCAGAGAGGGATAGGACTTGGGATTTCATTAGTAGCAGGAAGCCTTGCATAAGGAAACTCTTACTAATGCAGGTCAGAACCTTCTCGGCAAATCTAACCGTTAGCTGGTTAGAATACTGAGATGTTAGGTAACTAGCCCAGGTAACACAGCCAGCAATCGTTCACAGGGCAGGTCTTTGTGGCTGCAAGGCCAACTCTATTGAGTACGTCACACTCTTCTTGGAGACAGCTGCTATTTATTGTATCCTCAGGTTGCCTCTTCATTCTATAAGAATGATCAAGGCAAGTGAAAGGGGGTCACAGTTCCCTTCTTTAGTATAGAAAGTAGGTAGCCAAAGCAAAGGTGACAGAAGGGGGGGAAGTTCGCATTGTAGGTATCAATTAGAGACAGGGAGGGTCAAGTTAGGATTCGAGGCCTTGGATATATGATTCACAGCTAAAAACAAGGGGATTGTATGAAGGTAAAGATACCAGTCTGTGTTATAAACATGTAAGTAGCGGCAAAAGAGAAAGGGATTTAAGAAAAGCACCCAAAAACGTCACATGCACATACACATCCCCTCAAAAAGAAAAAAAAAAGCGTGACCTTTAGAAACTTACACACTGGAGACCAAAACAGGTTATAAAGCAAAGTAGCATCAAAGAGTTAAAAAGGGGAGAAATAAAGGGCAAAGGAGAAACCCTGGTAAAAAGGCTGAATTAAAAATTTGGTGAGTAGAGTAAAAGATTTATTAGGAATGCAGTCAACACCATGAACACAAATATAGCCAGAACCTGTAGACACCAGCGTGAGGGATGGAGACTGCCAGAATCATGATTCCAGATTAATTTTTGGGTTTCAAGAGAAAGATGGCATGAGTCTTGTGGGTCAGATAGCAGGAAACTTACTAGCTACAGTAATTACGCCTGGTAGAAAAGCTTCTTCTAATTTCTGAGCTTCTGATGGGAGCTAGAACACATGCCTGTCCTGTCCAGTTCTAGAGACACCCCTAGAAGGGGGGCCACCCACCAACTGCAAGCAGGCCTACATAGAAAATACCAAAGACAAGAGAAACTAAATGGATATGAAAGGACTGACCTCAAGCTGTGCCTTGAGAAGGAAAACAATTGTCCACCCACCAGCTTCCAAGCAACCAGCAGCCAGTTCAGAGTCCGAGAGCTGCCCTGGGTGACCAACTTGAACCTAACCAATGACAAAGTGGCTATAGTAGCTTGCCCAAACCCAGCCTCACAACTCAAGGGAAAAGAGAAGCTCGTCTTCAAAAACTAATGCTACAAACTCCAAGGAGTCTCAGGGTGAGAAGGCCAGAGGCTCCAGCTTTCCAAATGGCTGAGACATGTTGGTCTTTCAATAGACTTTAATGGGGGTTAAACAGAAGACTAATCTGGGAAATCAGGGCTGGAGAGTAGACACATAGATAGCTCTCTTAACCAGCCAAAGGTCATTGTGTTCACCTATGCTCAAGCAAAAAATCAGAGGTAAAGAAGGGGAAGAACAGGGCCCACCCCAACCCTCACATCCAGGATGATCCCCCCACAAGAGGAACAGCAAAGGAATGATGTTTTTAATTCTCATGGGTTTGGGAAGGAAGTGTGGATGAGGAGGAGAAAAGGGAAGCCTTTTTGGTCTTTTGGGGGGGGGGCCCAGAAAAAAAGAAAGAAAAAAATAATGTAAATAAATTAAACACCCAAAACTTGGTTGAGTGGGAAATGAGAAAGGCCAGAGGTGACTCACTCTTTTTTTTTTTTAACAAAACTCACCAAATGGAGAGATATACAAACAGAACAAAACCTAAAAGCAAATTATTACAAAAAATACTGAACCACAATCACAAGGGAGGGGGAGGGGGACTCTGGAAACTACCATTGTTGCCCTAACCATAAAGGACATCAGCTCACCCTATTTTGGCAAAAGCCAGGCAGGGAAGGGCTCTTTCCTGGCTGCACCAACCCACCCCCCCACCCCCAAACTCCCAGAATCCATCATTCTATTTATGAAAAGGGGAGGACGGAAGAGAAGCCCTGCTGACACATTTCAGTACCCACTCCCCAACCCATTCAGCTAAAATCTGCCCTTCGCCCTCCCCAAGGGTGGAGAGAAAGATTCCCACTTGGCACAGAGGTCATGAGCACCATCCCCACCCAATCCCCAGTCACCAGAGCTGATCAGTTTCCATTTGGCATCACTCACCACTCCTATGTCTTTTCTTCTGACCTTGCCTCACCCCTTCACATTTCCCCATCAATCCTGCTGAGGACCAGAATGCCTACCTGCTCCAACCCCTTGGTCTGAGGTGGTGCTATACCTCACCCTCTCCTCTAGGAGCAATGGACGTTTTTGTGCCTTGTGCAAACATCTGGACCTAGGGCAAGTAGAGGTGGGGACCCTTCCAATCAGACTGAAAATGTACAGAAATTTGGGGGAGAAGGAGGTAAGAGTAATAGCATCCACATCTGGACCTCCCTCTTGGGCACACGGGGCTAGAGGTATGAGGGAGGAAGAAACTAATGCCCTGGGGCACTTTAGTGCCAGTATAGAGTGGGAAGCTGGGGCTTGAATATAGGCAACTGGGGGTGAGAGGGACATGCCCAGTGGAGTGGTGGGGGTTCAGGTTTCCTTCTCACTTTATAGTCTTGCTGTGTTTTCCTAGATTTCCTCCACACCGTGCGCAAATATCATGACAAGCCCTGGTTCCTGCACCATGTCATCCCCCATGTGTTGGTTCTCACAGGCCATCACCACCACTGCCTGCTTGCCAGGGATGCGTTTGGCCACGTAGTTCTCATAGTAGCGCCGGTTCATCTGACGTGTCTCTAGGGTAGCCAGGCCCTGGGGCCAGCTTCGCTCGTGGGCATTTTCAATGAGCTCATTGACTATGGAGGCTGGGCAGCCGCTCTCCACCAGAGAGCGCTTGATGACTGCTTGCAGCACGGCATCCGGCGTGGAGATCATGCCACCCCAGCGTGTCACCCGTGCTGGCTGCAGGGAGTTGACCCACCTGTGTGGAGGGCAATTTAGGAAATCATTCTAGCTCCCCTTCCCCCAATCCAGGCTGCCCTGGACTCTATGCAACATTACAAACACTGGACATAGCCCATAACTTCTCTGAGCCTAAGTTTCTCATCTATAAAATGGGGACAAGAGCATCTCCACTGGTGTCATTGTGAGAAACAAATGAGATGTGGAAAACACTCTTTGCAAACTTTAAAATGGCAACATAAATGTGAGATATTATTACACTATGTGCAAGTCTTAGCTTGTGTGTTTATCCCTTCTTTCTAAACCTGGCTCAGTAGTTCTTTCCTTGCTTTGCTCCACCTCATTTCCTGTCCCTTAACACTTTTTTCCACATATTAAACTTTCAGACGTAGAAGAGCCTTAGTAAAAATGTTCACTCTCATTTGTGCTTAGGGTGCATTTTAAATATTAAGAAGTTGTAACTCCTGGTCGTATATACTGTCTTCCCTTAAACTATGAGCTTCAGAGGAGCAAAAACAGCAGTTTCTACCCGTGTATAGAGTCCAAAACAGAATTCTGGATGGTCAATGTAATCTAAGCCACCACCTTTGGTAGAACAACCTAACCCAAATCTATATCAGGGGAATTCTGTGTTGAAACCGAAAACCCATCTTTTCTCTCTATTCTTGCCTTAGATCACCCCTGCCAAGAAGTCTTCTTTCCCTCCCAAAGCCCGAGAAACAGGGTTTCCTCTGTCTAAGGATTGCCCTGAAGTTGGGGATTCCACTTACTCCAGGATTTCATTGTATTCAATGGTCTCCTCCAGGTTCTGCAGATTGGGATTGACGCTACGGATAGCACGCATGTACGCCTTCAGCAGCTGAATGTCCCGCTTCTGTTGGAAGAAAGGAGAGCCAGGACAAGTTAGAGGAAGCAGCAGGCAAAAAGATAAAGGGCAGTTCAGCTTAGGGGGATTTTGAGGGAGATAAACCATATGAGGAGGGGTGGTACTGTTCAAGGTAAGGACTCTCAGCAATAATTGAGGGGAAGGGGGAAATCGCAGGGACTCTATCCTTCACATTCCATCCTACTCATCCGTATGACAAAGTGATTGGTCTTCTCATACATATGCACCTTACTCAATGACAGGACTGTTGTTGTTTTAAACAACCCCATTCCCCAAGCCCCTTAGACATACCTGCTCTGCAAGCTGGTGCTTATGCTCAGCTGACGTCTTCTCTAGCTCCGCAATACGAGTCTGTTGCTGCTGTACCACTGAGCGGAGATGCTTAACGCAGTTGTGGTTGGGCAGCTCATCTTTGGGCATCTCCAGGCTGCAATCCCAGGGCAGGAAGAGAGTATGACAGGGGGCTCAGTGGCCAAGACTAGGCTTCCAATGCCCAGCCCCACAAGGAGACTGTGAGTAAGGAGTCCCATTCCACTGCAGAAATGTGCTGCGCAGGCTAGAGCCTTCTCCCAGTCAAAGCCTTCACACTTCCTACAGCTTTTACTCTCGTATGTTCCCTTCTGCTGTCCCTTTTTCTAAAAACCGTACCCAGATAGTGCTGTTCTCTCTTCCCGTATGTAGACCCCAGCTATACAGTTACTCTTTCTCAGAAGCCCTCCAACCACTGCTACACACATAACCAAACTCTGCTCCCTGACATTCCCAACCCACACTGACCCACATGAGCTGGGACGAACAGAGAATCAAGAGGATGAGGATGAGAAGGGTGAAACTTAAGCGAGATAAGAAGACCCCTGATGAGGATGGGGAAGAAGAGGGAGAAGTGCAATCAATTTTCATGGCTCTAAAAGATTATTCAATAGAGTTAGAGAACTTGCCTTTCACCATATCAGTTACAGGAAGAGCAAGAGGGAAAGGGTCAAAAATTCTCTATGAACGTTAAACTTTGGGAAGGACACTCGATTTGGGAAGCCTGGAGGACAGAGGGAGCCAAGAAAGACACGGCACCACTTTGCCTAGAAATCTTGTAGGCCAAGAGACAACTGTATTTTGGCATTCTCTGGCTACAGAGGCAGGCTAACCCTCATTTGTCTGGATTCTGGGAATAGTAACAGGGAGATGGAAGAACCTCTAACTCTGTTGACTGGAGGCAAGGGTCAGGTGGAAATCCTCACCCACAGCCCTGCTCGCAGGTGACAGGCCGCTTGGGGTTGTGCTCGCAGTCACTGAGATGAGACATGAGGTTGTCCAGCCGCACAACGGCACTGCAGCCAAACACAGCGTTGTCACAGGCAATCTGTAGTTTTGACAGCATGTTCCGCATGATCCGGGGGACGGGGCGCAGGTGGGCAACTGTCACTACACTTCGGTCTACCGGGCACGTCTGCTGCTGAGAGAACCACTGGGTGATGCAGGCATTGCAGAAGGCGTGCTCACAGTGAGGGGCCTGGCAGGGAGAGAGTTACCCAGGAGAGTCAGCAGGGCCTGGGATCAGTGTTGGCGCCATTTCCACAGACCAAGCCAGTCAGAACTCTCCTAGGTAATGCTATTCAAAAGTTCCCAGGAATCACAAAGGCTCCCTCCTTCTCCCCGCCAAGTACAGATTTTTATGATCTAGCCAACCGAGACTAAGTGCCCTCTGGGGTTGAAACAGGTCAAATCAACAAATACATATTGAGCATCTACAACACACCTTGCACTCTGCAAGTTACAAAGAGCTGCAATCTATTCCCTGAAGAAGTTTATAATCTAGTTGGGGAGATGGAACATAAACAGAAGTTAAATAATAATGACTTAAGTAATTTTCAACATGAGGGAAAAAATGTCACAAGGCAGTATATGATTAACAAATGAATTATAAAGAAAATAACTGATATAAGAGGCTAGAATGGTTGGTGAGTGGAGGGAATTTTGTGAGTAGAAGTTTCTGGAATGGAGAGGATTTGGATGGAAGAAGGAGGGGTCATTCCAGGCAAAAGCAAGGTGTATTAAAGAAATTGATCAGCCTTGCTGAGGTTAGGTGAGTCTCCTTCTAGCCAGACCGAGGCTTTTTTCCTTAGGAATGTCAAGGACTTCGTAGGTGTTACCTGAAACACAGTCCCTGGCTTGGAACTCGCCTATCCCCACTGTCCAGGTCACTCTGCTACCTTTCTACTTGAGACTCCTCTGCGGATGTCCAACACTTTGTGTTAGCCTCAACAAAGAGGCCACCGGGGCTTAAGACTAGCCTCTTCCTTGACTTTATATTTTCCACTTCAGAAAAGATAAAGATTCCTCTTGTTCTCGCCCTCTCCCTTCTTGCTGCCCAGAGAGCCTTTCAAAGTCCTTAGGGGCTAGTAATTTTAATAGGAAAAACCCATGGGCCTTTGTGAGGTCACCACCTAACAACCAGGCCCTGCTGGATACCAGGGAGTGCCTTGGTTACAAAAAGGCTGCAGACACAAGTTTCTCATACATGAGACACACTTGATCCTCTCTCCTAGAACGAGAGGAACATTTACATGGTTTGCTCTGCAGAGCAAACTCTTGTCTGGAGGTGAGGGGTGAAATGATTCATGCCATTTTAATCAATCAAAAACATTGCCTACTAGTACCAGGCATTATGCCTGGGGATACAAAAAAAGAGGCCAAAAACAAAGTCCTTGCCCTCAAGGAATCTGCAGTCTAATGGGGAAGACAATTTGCAAACAAAGAGATAAAGAGAAGATAACTAATAGAGGGAAGGCACTAGAATTGAGAGGGGTTGGGGAAGGCTTCCTTTCCCAAAGATAGGATTGTAGCTGAGACTTAAGGGAAGCCAGGGAGGTCAGTAGTCAGTTACACTGAAATTGAATTTGTTCGGACACTGCACCTTTCCACCTCTGGGTGTCTGAAGGGACAGGGAGAACAGGTAATCCAAGAGCTGAAGCCACAGGGGCAGGAGATCCAAAGAATCCTTTGTGATAAAATTATGGGGACTACAGATCTCTCTAAAGTAGTCTTCCAACTTGAGATTCTATAGGTCTGACTGGGGAGCTACTAGTTTCAGAAACGGGGATTTACTTGCCCTAACCCCAGGTGTCACAAGACCATACCTTCAATTGGCATTTACTAAGTGAGAGCACCAAGGATTCTAGAACAGGGCATCTTGTGGTTAAGATCATTAGGAATTCATCTTACTCATGCTTTCTGGCTGGTACTTTAACTTCTCACATCTGTCAGACACAAGTGACTGATTTGTAGAAAAAGGAGGAGTGATTTAGTGGCAGGGAGTGGCTTCTTTATCTGTCTCCACATAGCCTCACTACATGCAGAAGCTGGCTCCATAGATAGGTCTCAGGAAGGAAGACAGGCAGGATGACTTCTAGACCAAGGACTGACCAATTAGGAGGCTCTGTGAATCTTGTTAACTCTCCCAATCACACATGCTGATGACAGGGGAGGTAAATAATCACCAGGGGCAGGCAGCAGCCAGCAAGGCATAGGGCAGAGCACCAAAAGGATTCTCACCTGTCAAGATCTATAAAATCAGAGTTCCTATTACAGGGGCCAGAGATGAAGCCATGGACAGACAAGAAGAGGGCCTAGCTGGAAGATCCTGGCCATACCAGCACAGAGAGAGGAGCTAAAGGAAACCTGTCAGGAAATCTAAGCGTGGTGTTATGACTGACACTCAAGTAAATGTCTGTAGGTAACTGTGGAAACACATCGTTCCAGCCATCTATTTAGGTTCGCAGCTTTATTATTTGAGGATTGCAGACCCAACTTTATTCCATCCATGGAGAATTTTTTTTTGTTATTTCATTAACTCCAACTTTAATGTTTAATTAGAGCTTCTTTGCTAACATATATGTCATAGTATTTTATTTCTTCCATTCACCAGCTAATATTTGAACTTCCCAGAAAAATCTGATAGGGAGAGAGACTGGATCCATTATTAAATTTTGACAGAGGGAACCCCCAAAAGAGAAAACTCCATCTGCACCTTCTCTGTGACACTTTTAGAGAGTTAAATAAAACACTGAGAGGTTAAGTGATCTGCCCATGGTCATACAACCAGTATCTCAGAAGTGAGACTTGAATCAAGGTTTTCCCGGTTCTAAGGCCAGGTCTCTATCCATTCTACTTGGATCTTCTCCCTTCCTCAATTAATACATGATATTTGAGGGAAACAGAGCCCTGACTTAAAAAACAAATAGAGGGACCCCCCCTGGGGCATTCCACCTACTCAGGCAGGCCTTGGGGGGGTGGGGGGTGGCTGAGGTCTACTTCTCTGTTACCCATTCTGTATTGGAGGACATGAAACCATAAATTGGGACACTTTTGTTTCAATGTTGGCTTTCCTGATACTCATGGGGGTTCCATTCTCTGGGCCTCAGCATTCCATGAACACTATTGTTTCTCAATGTAGAATGGTTCAGGATACACTGAAGCCTGGAAAAACAGGAACTACCTCTCATTATCCCAATTCAACAAGCACTGTGCGAGAGACACAAACACAATACCCATTACTCTTCCACTCTGCCAATTCACCTGTACTGGCTCCTCCAGAACTCCACTGCAGATAGGACAAATAAGGTCTTCATCAACATCCCCCTGGAAACGGGCTACATCATACCCCATGTCTCATCACAGAGACTAAGCCCTGCAGGGAAGAGAAGAGAAGCAACATTACAGGTAGTCTACAAATGGGCCAGACCATCTCTCTCCAAACCAGGGGCTGGAGCAGAGCATATATATTTGGTTGGTAATTTAACTTCTTACCTCTGTTAGATATGACTAATTCTGATTTGTCAAGTGAGGGAGACAGATTCCTCCTCAACCACTTTTTAAACTGTGGTTATATAAACTCAACCACTTTTACACAGAAAGATCAACCAGTTCAGCTCAGCCTCTGCCTTCTCTCCCAGCATGGTATCGCTCCTGTCTTCTGGCAGTGACTGCTTTGCCCACCACCTGCTTTAATTCTCCTCCACATATGCTGAAGGTGAAGGAAGAAAGGAAGTAGGAACTCCCTGGTCCCCTCATTTTCCCTTTTTTTTTTTTCAGCTAGGCAATGGGGTTAAGTGACTTGCCCAGGGTCACACAGCTAGTAGGTTATGTGTCTGAGGCCACATTTGAACTCAGGTCCTCCTGAACCTAGGGCCAGTGCTCTATCCACTGCACCACCTAGCTGTCCCTGTCCCCTCATTTTCCAAAGAACACAGAGTTGCTGCGATAAAACTTCTGGGAGTTTGTAGCCAAAAGTAGGGAAATGTAAGAGCTGGGAGATGTGGGGAGGTTCACTCCACCCTAAGGTTTCATCCTCTTCCCTCAGGGTTTGTACCTACTGAAAAAGGTCCATCAGTATCACTGACGAAATTCCCAGCATACTCAAAGCTGACCTACAAGTAGGTGTTGGGCAAGGATACAGAGGGAAAAAATAGTGTCCACCTCAGATGGAGTTTTAATCTGTAGTCGGGAAGAAAATCCAGCATACATGTACAAAACTGAACACACTGCACAGTACACCAGAAATGCCTGAAGTGAAGTTTAATAAGGGCCTGGCTTTAATTAAGCCCTGAAGAGGGAGTGGTCTACCAGCCTAAGAGTCCCTGAATACCCTGACAATAATGAAAGACAAAAACCACTCACAACTCAAGTTCAAATCTGACAATTTCGGTCTTAGGTAAGAGAATAAGAAAAATGTATTAGAAAGTCATCACCTGAACATCTGGCTTAGAAACGGCCATCCAAACAGCCCCTGTGTGGAGCCTGGGGGATTATCTCCAGGCACTTTGGCTAATAACGCCCAGGGGGCACATAACTACCAGTACAGATACCTGGAAATGGGTCTTCAGGTATGAGGTAAGTAGGTGGCCTAAGCCACAAGAAAACGGGGGTAATGGGTGGTGATCCAGCAGACAGGGCTGACTGGACACTGAAGATTGCTGTCAACCAGAGGTACCCTTTGGGGACACAGACTGATCAGCACATGATGAGTCTGGCCAGAAATTTCCCCTAGGTCCTAATTGGGGGGGAGAAGGGGAGGAAGGGAAGAGGAAGGAGCTGCATAAGACCCTGAAAGCTGTGACTGAAGCCTGGGGTTCAACTCAGTTTGGTTTGCAGACACTGTCCATGCTCGATGCAGCTGTCAAATTGATTTTTCTAGAACTCGGTCTGACCTTGTCCCCTCTCATTCAATCAACTTCACGATCCTTGGCTTCTAAAGCCCTTCGTGATGTGACCTCCTCTTCTAACACCTTACTCCCCTCCCTGCAGGCCACAAACCAGTGATGCTGGCCTCCTCATAAAAGACATTCCATTTCCAGATATTTTCGCTGGCTGTTTCTCATGCCTGGAATTCTTTCTCACCTCTGCTTCCTAGCTTCCTTCAATTTTCAGTTGAAATCCCACCTTCTGCAAAAAGCTTTTCCCAATCCCCTTTAATGCTCTTCCCCCCCCACACACATTCCCCAGTTTATCCAGCCTATGTCTCATTTGAATACAGTTGCTTGCATGCAGTCTCCCCTTTAGACTGGGAGCTCCCTGAGGGCAGAGACTGTTTTGTTTTTGCTTTTCTTTGTATCCTTAGGGACAGGACAAAGTAGTAGGGTTCCAGTCACACAGAAGGCACTTAATAAATACCTGCTGATCTGACACCAGCACCTTGTCTAATCAAACACAGGAATAGATCAGAAAGAGGAGGGAGTCTTGGGGCAAAGTGGCACCTGGCACCCAAATTCTTTCCCAACTTACTATGGGAAGTTACTTTCTGTTACCTTTTACTACTCTAAGATCCAGAAAAGCTAGCTAAGCAGAGAATGAAGTGGGCTGGATACCAAAGAGATCAATCCTTCAATCTACCAATATTGATTATGGATGTATAGGAGGTGATCTTAAAAGAACCAAAAATAAAACTCCAACCCAAAGCCTCTTGTAAAAGATTTTCTGTATCCCTAATTTGTTGAGAAGGCATAGTAGTGGGAGAAAGTAACTCATACTCTTTTGTTTGTGCCAAACAAGAGCAAGAAATTGGTATTACAGTTCCTCCCAAGGAGTCAAAGTAGGGTAAAATCCATGATTTCAAATCTGAATAAATCTATATATTTTTTAAAGTTTTAGTTTTGAAATTTTTTCAGGCTACTTCAATTTCTTAATTGGAAATATGCTTTTAAAGTGAAAGCTTAAATTTTTAAAAATTAAAATAAATTTTTGAATGCTTAATTTTTAAAGTGACATCAAGTAAACCAGTAGAAGGCACTTTAGTATGTGAATTCAGAGATTAAAAGTACAAATATGTAAGAGAAAAACATTTTCTTCTCTTCAATTAATTCTTAAATTAAAAAATCATTTGGAAATTTTTAAAAACAGAAACTTTTTTCCCAGACTTTAAACTTAAGAAAAAAGAAAAGCTGAAAACTGAATTAGCTCCACACTCAAGCTTTCCTCTTAATGACCTGGCTAAAATAGTTCACTTGTTTTTCTTTGTCCTCTCATCTTCAGCAATCATAGATGAGTCTGAGGAAAGACAGTTAAAGTCTTCTCACAGAATAACAATGAAACCATCATTGTTGGAGCACCTACGTAAAGATTTTTAAAGATACAGTATCTCCAAGTTAAACATATCCAGTTCATTCAACCATTACAAAGCATCTAAATGTGTTATACAACCTGATTTCCATATACTTCATCTTTGTCAATGTTGCTGGTAAAATTTAGTGTCCAAGAAAGGACAGACATGTGGTCTGACCAGTGTAGTGTACAAGGGATAGGACTTCCTGTGCTTTGGACACTAAGCTTCTATTAAGATATACTAAGGTTGTGTTAACAATTTTAACTGACAGCTTCTTCCAAATCATAACAAAAATATTCCACTATCTATGTTTAATCTATTGAATTTGAGACAGTTTACCTCCTGCTTTCACAATGTTTGAAATAGCTTTGATAAAGAAAATAACCAAATCCTAACTTTTTTCTAACGTAGCTGCAAAATCTAGTTAAATGTCAAAATAAATTGCTAGTGTATAACTTTTAAAAATGTAAAAACTTCATTAAGAGTCTATTAAAAATATGAGTGGTCTTTTTGCAGAAAAAAAAGTGATTAAGAAGAATCTTCTGGACTGACACTGAATCTAAAACCAGGAAAGAATTGAGATATCACCTAACTCAACTCCCCATCTCAAATGTGATCTGCCTTCATCTGATGTTTCAGATTGACCTCGTCTGGATGCTGTAATGTCTCACAATGTCTGTCTAAATGAGAAGAGTGAAAAAAAAAAACCTCCAAAGTGTTTCAATATCTCAACTCAGAATTCAATTCACTTCTCCAATTCAGACAAAATCTACTAAGGCTTGACATCCAGTTCTTTTCCCTGACACACACCTTCCCCTTGTCAACCCAAGAATCTCCTGGGAACTTGTAGTTTCAGTAGTTTGGGTGAAATCCTGCTCATGCCTGTGAAGATCTTCTTTACAAAAGGATTTACCTCAAAGAGTTTTTAAAATATTAAAATTCTCTTAACCCACAAGGATCTGTGATCACATTGATTTGAAGATCTCCTCTAAGGATACCAGCCTAGTTACATGACTCTTGTTCATGTCTTTCCACAAATTTGCCATAGTCATCCACCTATTTTCACTCACCATATGACTAGCTCATCTTCTCTTTTGATCTTACCATCTGCTGACATCTTTTACTCCTGTTTTTCCAAGGTACTTATCTGTTCTCTGATGCAGCCAGATCACACCTACCATATGCCTTTTACCCTCTATGTAACACTCATTTTTAATTCTTTGGATACTTATATTCTATGTCTTACAGATACATAAGTTAAGAACTGGTATTAAAAAAGATTGGCTTTTGTTTCTGAGAGAAGTTTGGGGTTACATAAACTTTGAATTTTCTTGAAGTCAATCCAGCCCACTCTTCTTCCCATTTAATTCTGAATCCAACTCAATTTGGGTCCATTTGTACTGGGTTTCTTTCTCCTCAGATATACAAATGGTGGAAAAGTCCACCCAACTCCAAGGCAATCTGGGCAAGAGACATTTGTCAGCCACTTGATACTATGATCAAGCCAAATCATTCCAAGTGATTATGGATCTCTCCTATGAAGCTCAGAAATGTTTTGGGGCTTGATGCACCAGTATCATTTATCTGCAAATAGAAACAAACATCTCATTATCCAATTCACACTGGTCTCTGTGACAGATTTTCTCCACGTGAAGTGTCAAATACCGTTGGCAAGCATACATCTTCTCATATATACTCCTCACCTGATGCTTGGATCAGAGGCAAGTCGAAAAGGTTCTATTGTTAAATCTATTAAGAAACCTTAAATGATTTTGATGTATGAGTGAGAGCCTTTAAAGTGGTTTTTGCTCTACAAATTAAGTACTATTTTGTAACCAAATGATAAGCACAGTGGGGCTTTGTATCCTCAACAGCTTTCAGTAAATCGTGTGGTGGTAAAGTTAAAGGCCACTGTGGCATCATGTGAAAAGCCCATCTGTTCTCTACTTGTACAGTGTATGGAAAGAACTCTCATGAAAATTTTGTATATACAGAAAAGTAGATAGATAGGTCAGCTTGTCTTTTTTCAGGATTAATAAATGTCTGAATTTTCCCCCACAACTTTGGTTTCTTACCTTTCAGATACTTTGTAAATGATCCCTCAATGCCTTCCTCTAAAACAGATCTACTCTGTGTACACTCATCTATTACAATCCACTAGATCTTAAGCTCCTTGAGGGCAAGGAGGGTCTTCTGCCTCTTTCTGTATCCCAGCACTTAGCCTGGCATACAGTCGGTGCTTAATAAATGTTTACTGAATTGAACTGAATCTAATCCAGCTGCTTTCCTTGTCTTCGTTCATTTTAGGGTTTCTTCGACTTCCTTTTATAAGTACATTCAGGACCATGATGATACCCATGTGTTAACATAGCACACCAATAGTAGAGAGTTTTTCATGATATCTTTGCAGATCTTTTCTATTCTTTTTGTTTGCTGTTCCCCTTAAATGACTTCAGAATGACTGCTTCACTAGGTCCCTTGCTATACTTTCTTAAAACTGATCTTACCCTTCTCTACTTTTAGGCAACACCTGCCTTGAGATGTCATTACTCTCCACAAGTCAAATGTTTGCTCACTGGGACGTGTTTTTCAGGTTGATTTGGTCATCTCACTGTGGTGATGGATTTACATTAGTTAAAAACCTGTATAAAATCATAATCAACGTCCGTGCCCTTTTCCTTTACTATCTTTCATTACCAATAATTTGTTTGATTTGGTCAGGACTAAATTCCATGGCTTTTCATCTTTATCACTTTTTCTTCTAGCTAAAGCTAACTTTGACCTTTGCTCTGATAACTTGGCAGTCTGACTGTACAGAGACAACCAAGTCAGAAATGACTCCAAAAACAGGAAGGAAGGGAAAAACCATTTACTAAGCACCTACTATGTGTCAGGCACTGTGCTAAGTGCTTTACAAGGTACCCAAACTTTGGTGGGCTGTTCAGTTACAACCAATGTAATGCTTTGTGATGTTATTTGGTGCCCACTATATCTGGAGCATATTGGTTCTTTTCTCAAATAAGGCATTAATGACAAAGGCCTACACAGAAGCTTCCCAGCTCTACAAGTCTTTGACCTCTCTCATTCTTTTATTCCTGACCTACATGTTTCTCACCAACATCACCTATTCCAACTTTTACACCAAAGTCACTGTGTATCAGATGATGCTGATTTGAATGCACGAGAATTTTCTAGTTTTTCCTAAGAAATTTCTCTACTTCCCCCCTGAAACCAATGTTGGTGCATCAATCGCAACTATTTTTATGGTAATTGTGAGGGGTAAATATTGGGTGTCCCATGAAACTATATTTATCACTGCTGCTGGAATAAAACCAATTCCCTTCTTTGTCTCTCTAAAAAGTGTCTGTAAGCTATTCCTCTGTCTAGCTAACTGCAACCTCCTTTTCTGGCTTTATTTATAAGGAAAATGACAAGATTGATGCAATCTCTCCTTCAGCATTGAGTATACCTGCTGATCACAGGACTGAGACTTCTCATTTAGATTACCAACAACCAAGGGAAACATCCTTTGCCATTTTTTCTGCCACCATCACTACAGAGAGCAAGGTGGCCAAACAGGAGTGCGGGCCATTCTGTAATTTTCTGTTTCATGGGTTGCCATAGACAAATAATCCCTTTTCTACAGGTAAGCCTACTATATTTTTTTTAAAATTTTATTACTTTTTTCTAATTAACAAGCATTTATTTTTTTCTCCCTTCCACCCCACTAAACAATTGAAAGAAAAACAAAAACGTGTAGTCAAAACAAATTCCCTCATTGGCTGTGTCCCAAAATGTATGTCTCATTCTGTATTTTGAGTCCGTCACCTCTCTATCAGGAGGTGAGTAACAAGCTTCAATTTCAGGCCTCTGTAATCATGGCTCATCATTGCAGTAAACAGAGTTCTAAAGTCTTTCAAAGTGGTTTTTCTTTATAATGTTGTTGTCATTGTATAAATTCTTCTCCTATTTCCGTTCACTTCAGTCTGCATCATTCATAGAGGTCTTTCAAGTTTCCTTTGAAACTGTACATTTTGTTTCTTATGGTATAGTAATATTCATATGATTTGTTTAGACATTCCCTAGTAGATTGGCATTCCCTTTGGTCTTTGCTACTACAAAAAAAAAAAGCTGCTGTAAATATTGTTGTACATTTCAGTCGTTTCCTTCTTTCTTTGATCTCTTTGGACTAAAGCCCACTACACCTAACAAGATGGTTCCTTAGAAAGCACACTCAGTCGGTTGTTAAGACATACTCGAGGGGCAGCTAGGTGGTGCAGTGGATAGAGCACTGGCCCTGGATTCAGGAAGACCTGAGTTCAAATCCGGCCTCAGACACATAACACTTACTAGCTGTGTAACCCTGGGCAAGTCACTTAACCCCATTGCCTAGCAAAAACGAAAACAAAAAAAGACATACTCAAAACCTTGCTACCACAGTAGACTCTGACTTCACTTATGCTCTGCTAACACTAGTAGCCTTCAAGGTCCCAGGTAGCACGGCCATGCTTCCATGGGATATGAAAGCAGGACTTTGTAGAGGCTAAACTTCCTTTGTATATTTAAAATATAATCCCATTTAGAAATGAGTTCAATTTGTACACAATTTTCTAGGAAATACCTAACACATAAACAAGGAACAACTACATTAAAAGGCCAATTATTTATCACTTAAATAACATTCTGAACACTCAGAATAGAAACTCTCCTACTCTCTCTGCGCTGTGCTTGGGAAGGTGGGAGGGTAGAAGGGCATGATAAAAGGAACCTAAGTCAATTCCTTTTTCCAAAGGATTTATCATCTAAGATGCAGCCTTAGGCCTACTGGCAGACAGGAAGACACATATGAAAATCATTAAGATTTCCTAGGCAACTAAAAACAAGTGAAAATGAAATTAGGTTCCAGAGTGTAAAACGTTGGGAACAAAGAGCAAAGAAACAGGCAAAGTTCTGTGGCATGAATCAGGAATTAGGGTTTTGGACTGGAAAGACTGAACTCTGAGGAAAGGAAAGGACATGGCTTGCTAAAGGGGAGCTGAAACTTACAGCATGGTCTTGAGCCAATGGTCTGTCTTTACCTGGCAGGTGGCGTGGGGCAGGGTCCCTGTTCACAAGGCTCCAGCCCCCTCACGGCTCCACTCAGTGCCTCGCATGATATGCTCCCAGTAACCCATCTTGTACGTTATGCTCAGACTCATTCTTCCATTCTGATGATGAGCTCCATCACCAAGGGGATGGTTGTGATGTCATAATCAGGATGGCTCTATTAATAGGAACAAGGAAAAAAAAGGTAAGTCAGGGAAAACTTGACTCCACTCAATGGGGGGGTGGGAAGGGAGGGAGAACAACAGACTTGGAAGTGGTAACCAAATGGGGAGGATGAGGCAGTTGTGTCAAGCATGAGTTTCCAGTGAAAGGCCTCCCCACTATCAGGAAAAGGGGTTTGGATATATAATCAGTCACTGTGGAGGAGGCTCAAACACAGGTTTCAGTAAAAGGATAGGGAGGAGGAACAAATTAAAGGGGGAAAAAAAGGAAGAAAAGAGACACTTTTTGCAACAGACAATCATTTGTGTTTTCAGATACTCTGTGAAGAAATGTAACTTCAATTCCTAAGAGTCATAAGCCTGCCCAGATCCCATACTACCTTCACATTTCTATCATTTTTTAGAGTTTACCAAATGTTTTTATATCCATTGCCTCATGTAGAGAGTACTTATCCTCCTTCTAAACAGAAGTTACAAGACTTTACTTACAGGCTATGAATTTGCTCAGATGTCAGTCAATAAGCATTTATTATGTGCTTCCTATGTATCACTGTGCTAAAGCCCTAAAGGGACAGGAAACACACAAAAAAACTTTCTGTCCCCAAAGAACTCACACTCTAATGGAGGAGACAAAATCCATGTAACCTGTATGTAAAACATGAATATAGGGCAAATGGAACATAACCTCAGAGGGAATATGCTAGTAAGGGGGAAAGGGTTGGGGGGGGAAGGGCAAAAGGTGATATTTGAGCTGTGTCTTGAAGGAAGTCAGAAGGCAAAGTTAAGGAGGGGGAGCATTCTAGGTGTGCAAAAACGAGATGAGAGTTGGGGAATGCTTGGTTCAGATATTCCCCACTTCCCAGTTACTCAGAAAGTGAACAGGCTTTACGATAAGAAAGGCTGAGGTAATTCAGGAGGAAGTAGTCCTACAACACTAGGGAAGACTAAATGATTCAAGCAAAGAGGCCTAATTTGCATCAGACTCAGGCAAGAGATACAGGTAAAAGCATTAAGGAGAAAAGGGATAAGGCCCCATCACAACTTTTTGTACCCTAAGTATATTTATCTATATGCCAAACACCTACTTTTCATGTTAAATAATCTTAAGGGGAAGTAGCAGAGTCATCATTGCTATTATGTATAATGACGTATATGTTTCATCTTCTGAGCCTAGACTAAATGTCAATTAGTTTGACACTGGTCTGCAATAATGACATAAGTGTAGTAGCACTATTTAAACCAGAGATTGACTCTCTGATAAAAGGGTGAGGGCAGTGCCATTCATAGTCTGTCACCTCGCAGGTTCTTTGGTATGAAAAATGATAAAGCATGGCCCATTCTCCTCTTTCAGTACCAAAGAAGATCCAATGTCTTGCTTCTTTCATTCAGAGATTTCCTTTCATTTCACAAACATCCTATGAGTTTTAGAGACTGATCTGTTCAATTCACAGCCCAGGACTAATTAGAAACCTAAAATCAGTGATTCAGCAGACACTCACCATGCCTATAGTGTTTCTAAAGACTATGTCACTAAACCAGCCTCATTTTGCCCTTCCCTTCTCCCCAGACAATATTTCCCTAGGTATCACAAATCCTACAATTTCTAAGTCCCCTTGGTCAGGCCGGGATGACATAGTATTTCACAATTTTCAAAAAAAAAAAAGTACAGAACTGAAAGACAGGAGGCCAGAGTTGTTGTACTGATTCTGCCATGGCTCTCTAACCTCAATTGGGTCAGTTAATGTCTTCATACTTCCATTTCTTTGTTTTGTCAAATGGAGATAATAACACCTTCCCGTTCCCAATGTATGGGTTGTTGTGAAATTCAACGAGATAGGAGAACACACACAGAAACATAACTAGGTGAGATGGTATGTTATCACAATTCATAAGAAATATGAGTTGACAAGTTGGAAGGGCCAACTTGCCTACAAAGGGCATCTAGTCCAACCTCAACCTAAAGCATAAATCTTAATAGGGAACTCGCCAACCTTAGGGCAGCCCATTTTGATTTTGGTCAGCTCTAAATGCTAAAGTTCCTGTATGTTAAGGTGATGTGTACTTCCCTGTAAACTTTATCTTATTATCACCTAGTTGGTTCAAGAATTCTGCCCTCCAAGTATTGGGGAATCAAGGTGGAAATGGTTGAGAGGGACCAGAGTCTTAAGTTGCTTCTTCTTTTGAATTGGAAGGTAATCTCGGCTGCATACTCAAAGAAAATAACACAACTAAATTAATCATATACCTCCTCTCAGAACTTGCATCTTGTAGACCTCTTTTGGTTCTACAGACGTCCTTCACTATAAGTTGAGCTAGGAAAAACTCTTCTATCTTTCTTGATCTTCCATTTTGTTGGCCTAATTAAATAACTTCTTTTGGGGCTACCTGAGCACTGATAGGCAAAATAAGCTGTCGGTTTCTGGCTGTTAGCCGATTCCTCTGAGAAAGCCCTTCCTCCCATCTCACTAGTCTCCCCTCAGCCTCTGGTTTGGGAAGATTTCCTTGCATTCATATTTAAAGGCTAGGCAGAAAACCATGAGTAGGGACGGAAGAAATGTGGGATTCCACATTGGAGTAGGAAGGAGTGAGGGAGCAAGGAAAGAAGGCTCAGTTACCCTGAAAGTGAGTGGAAAGTGGGTGAGGGAGTAAAAGCTGGAAGGTCCCAGGTAGGGAGGTGATTTCCGGCTCCCAGGCTTGCCTCATCTCTCCAGCGACGTGAATCGCTGCCCACTTAACAGCACTCTGTTCTCCAGTGCCTCCAGCCCACTCACCCCCAGCTTTTCTGCCTCTTCAGGTCCCTCCTCCTCCCCCAGCCCCTTTCACCTCTCACCCAGCCAACACCACTCCTCAATTCTGATCTTCCCCACCTGCCCGCCCACCCCTCCAAACCCCGACTCCTCCAGCCCCACCTCCCAGACACCTCGCGCGCGCAGGCGCGGTACGCACCGTCCTGGGAGCGGTTTGGACCCGTCGGTCCCTGGGCTCGGACTGGCCTGACCTTGCCTCCTCGCACTCCGGGCTCCTGCTGGAGGAGAAGCGGATGCGGCCGTGGGCTGGGCCCTAAAGGCCTCTTCCCCGTAGCTCCTCGGAGAAGGGGAAAATCCAAGGGAAGACTCTTAGCCCAGTCCGGATCTGTCCAAGCCAGACTCTTTGCTCCGCCTCCCACTGCTACGCATCCCACCGGAAACACGTCGGCACGCCACGGCACGCCTCCCAACGGGCTCTCTGGCCGGAAAGGGGGAGAAGATTCCCGCCTGGCCAATGAGAAAGGTGGAAGGTCTCGCTTGGCCCGCCTCCCCTGACCGGAAGTTTTTGTGATTCCGAAAGAGGGCAACGTAGCTGACTGGGAGGGGAGAGGACTCTACGTTTCCCCCAACCCCGCCCCCCCCATCTGGAAAGGATATTTTGTTACTTGAAATACCTCGAAGGGTGTCGTCAGGGGGTGGGGCTCCTTCCTAGAGCTGCTCGAGTGCACGTGTTTCGCCTCGCGGGCTTGTTTGGCTGGTGGAAGGTCGTGAAAAGAGCTTCGTTTGAGCTGCGACTTCCTCTCCTCTTGGCTCTTTCTTTTGGACTCCTGGCCTCCTCCGCCGTCCAGAGGTGTCTGCTGGTCTCTTGTGTTCCCATGCTGGCTCCCGTAGTCTTCCTTATCTCTCCAGCCCAAGGTCGAATCCCCTTGTCTTTGAGAATAAGGCCTATCCGTCTCCGGGGGAGGCCAAGATAAGTTTGGGTGAAGAGATCTTTTCGGAAGTCACACTTTTATACGCTCCCATATACCCCCCAAAAGATACCTCCTTCCCAAGGACGCTCTTTGAATGTATTCCCTCTGAGAGGTCTCAGGGACACAGATGTAGGGAACATGAGGAACCGAGGTCGACAGTGCCTGAGGGAAACAAACTTCTTAAATGAGCACAGCCCAGGTAGAATGGAATGGAGGGAGACTAAGGGCATACTATATGCCACGCACTTTGCTAAACGATTTGCAAATATATATGATTTGATCCTCGAGATCTTCGGGTAACCAGTGTAAAAAACCGTGATTTCTGGGAATTCAATTCAGCAAGCATATATTATGCACCTACTGTGTACAAGGTTCTGGGATACTAAAAATTGAATCAGACCCTGCCCTCAAGGAACTTAAATTCCACTGGAGAAGGTGGGTGCCCTGTAAACCCAAGGTGGTATTATGGTTGTTTTTCTTAATCTAGGTTTTAAATTATAATTATGGACACTTGGTATATATGTAAACATTTTTTTCTCAGATGAATAGGGTTCTTGCACATTATGTCAGTCGTTTATTGTTGATATGGCACTGTCCTATGATTGTTGTAGGGCACATCCCGTTCCAAAGGCCCCTTTGGAATTAAGTCCCCATTTTCCGCTCCCGGCAGAGTACGTACAGGTTTGAGAAGACTGGAGAGATGTGGGTGTACCTGTGTTTTATGCTTCCTTCAGAAGCCAAGTGTGGGTCAGTACTATAGAGGAATAGTCTTAGAGCTCCCTCCTCTGCCCAAATGAAGAGGGACTGGACTCTGGAAGGAGGGAGCTCATCCTCCAGGGATTAAATTATGCCACAGACCGTAAATGACAGCTAAGGTATAGGAGTCAGTCAATAAACATCCATTAAGTGCCTATTATGTGTTAGACGCTAGTAATACAAAGAAAAGGAAAGGCAGTCCTAGTTCCCAAGGAGCTCACAGTTTAAACGGGGGGACAACACGTAAACAACTATGGCAAATAAGCGAGATACGGGACAAAGTGGAACTAACCACCAATGCAGGGCACTAGGATTCTGGAGGGTCGGGAGGGGGCGATTTTAACAGGCTACCAGAGAGGCCAGGAGCTGAAGATAAGGAGAATTCCCAGCCTGGGGGACAAGCGGGTGAAACTGCCGGGAGCTGGGGGACGGCGCGTCTGCTTCGAGGACCCCACGGGCGTCCAGAAAAAGGCCCTTCGGAGGCCCGGGTAGGGAGGGGCAGAGAGCAGGGTCTCCCTCCCTCGAAGAGGAGGACCGCGTTCCGGCGGAGTCACTTTCACTCCGGAGCCTGGACATTAAAGGTCCCGAGACAGGGAAGGGACGGGACCGATAGACTGGGGAACGATGCTCCCGAACGGCGGGCCGGCTTTCCCTGCGCCAGAGCTTTAACTTTCCGAGGTCCCTTTAACGCCGAGGGCCCGCCCCTTCCCGACCCGGGACGCAGCGAATCGCGGATTGGCCGGAGCCTGGGGGCGACCGTGAGGAGGGAGGGAGAACGCGGGAGAGGAGGGGTCGCGCACGTCGGAACGGCGTCTCGAGCGCGTTGATTGGCCTGCATCCCCGGACCGGGATACTTCCTGGAATGTCCGAGACTACGTTCCATTGGGCTGCATCCGGCCAAGGCCAGGACCCTGGCTCCCCCTGGGGGTGGCTAAGCGGCGTGCACCATCCTCCCCGCTGGGTAGGTGTTAGTTTGAGGGGTAAAGGGGTGGGAGGCAGGTCCGGGCCACTGGGTAAGGGAGGGGCCCCGTTCTCCTTCCTCCCACTCCTCCCGGTCCTAGGAATGGGAAGGCCCTCCCCCGCCCCAGGCCCAGGAAGCGCTACTTAGGCACCCTGCCTCCAAGCTTTGGGGCAACTTATTCTGGGATCCCCCATTCCTAATTTGGGAGATGTCAAAATAGAGAGCAGTGTTTTAACAATGGGGGGAGGCTGGTGAATGTTCTGAAAGAGCTGGACAGTGGACTGCTGCATTCCCCCATCCTCACCCGTTCTTCCTATTGGCAGGGAGTGGAGGCCTGGGCAGCATGACGACGGAGACCTTTGTGAAAGATATCAAGCCAGGACTTAAGAATCTGAATCTCATCTTCATTGTGCTAGAGACAGGTGGGTGAAAGGGTGTCTCAGGGCCTGGGGAGTATAACCACTTGTGATCTGGCTGTGCACGGGGTCTGGTGATGAAAGTGAATTGGTCCAAGGCAGTTCAGAGTGGCTACCCACTTATCTGCCTGCTTAGGCTCTGGCGTTGTGGAGCAAAGGTCAGAGCTTCTGTGTTGGGGGGAGGGTGCATGGTGGTATCCATCCCCTGTCCCTGGAACCCAACGTTATATGTATTCCAGATACCACTGGTTATCTTCATGAAACCCTTTCAGTGGTGTTGGGATAGCTAGTGTCCTTCCTATTGTGAACGGGCTGGAACTGCTATCACTGAGATCTCTTCATCTACCTGATTTCCTCACCTCCCCACCCCTTTCCAGGCCGAGTGACCAAGACAAAAGATGGACATGAGGTGAGGACCTGCAAAGTAGCAGATAAAACAGGTAGCATCAATATATCTGTTTGGGATGATGTTGGCAACCTGATCCAGCCTGGGGACATTATTCGACTCACCAAGGGGTAAGGCCAGTGAAGCACTCCTTGATCTAAGTGTGGGCATCACAGTAAAGGCAGGGGAGCAGAAGTCTGATGTGTCCTCCATGCATTCCCTGTGTGCTGTCTTCCCTCAACAGATACGCTTCAGTATTTAAAGGCTGTCTGACGCTCTACACTGGCCGTGGGGGTGATCTGCAGAAGATTGGAGAGTAAGGGCTAGTTTGGAGTGGGGGGATTGGGTTGGAGAAGCATCTCACCCCTAATGAAGGGGAGAAAGCCATGGTGTTAAGTAGGGTGGTAATTAAGGGGTATTCATACCTGGTATTAGTGGGAATATCAAGGTATAGTGGAGTGATGGCTTTGGAGTCATCAGATTTCTGTTCTAATTCTGACTCTGACACTTAACTGCCTATGTGAACTTGGGCAAACCATATCTCTCGATCTTAGTTTTCTTATAAAATGAAGAGATTAGATTCGGCGGCATCTAAGGTTCCTTCTGGCTCTAAAACTATGATTTTATTATATGTTTTTTTGATACCTCTGGGACTGTCCCATAAGGATTTGACCTAGGTTTTGTTTGTTTCTTTTCTTGGTAGATTCTGTATGGTTTATTCTGAGGTCCCCAACTTCAGTGAGCCAAACCCCGAGTACAGTGCCCAGCAGCTCCCCAGCAAAACGGTGAGTCCATGAGATCTTGACAAAGAGTAGGAAAAAGAAGGATATTGTTGCTTTAACAAAGAGGTCAGTAGGTAGATAGGTAGATAAAGCAAAAAGAAAGACAGCCCCTGCCTTTAAGGAGCTTGTATTCTAATAGGAAAAGACAAAGCATAAAAGAGAGCTGAAAATGTAGGGGAGGGAAGATCCATGGCAAGGGGGACAGGTGGTCTGGAGCAGAGGTATCAGATTTGGAGGTTGCTGGCTGCCGAACAAAGTTTCTAAGAGTAGCAGATCAAATTAAAATGTAATTGGGAAATGTTTAACAAAAATAAATAAAAATACAATACAACATAATGTTAACTTGTGGTTTTCTAAGTCATTAAGCAGCCACAGGAATCTCTTTCTGTTTGAGTTTGATACGTTCATCTGGGGCATCTTGGGCTGCTTTGGGTTTCATTCAATTAGTAAACATTTATTAAGTGCCTACTATGTGCCAAGCACTGAGCTATGTGCTGGGGATACAAAAAGAGGCAAAAACCATTCCCTATCCTCAAGAAGCTTGCAATCTAACATAGGAAACAACATGCAAATATGTATAAACAAGCTATATACAGAATAAATAGGACATAATTAAAAGATGGAAGGATTAGAGGAGGTTGGGAAAACTGTAAGAGATAGGATTTGAGATGGGACTTAAAGGAAGCTAGAGAAGGTTTGAAACAAGGTTTGAAAAGAGCATGATGGCTGGCATGGCTTCTTCTTCAAATTCAGATTCACAGTTCAAGATGAGGAGCAAGGGAACAGGGTGTAAGTGTGTTTTTGGTTTCTTCAGGTACAGAACGACAGTACCTCTGCCACTTCCCAGTCCCCTTCTGGCCCTCCTGCTGTGTCTCCAGGTAAAATTCTCCCTTGACCTTCCATCTCAGTGAATGGAAAAGGGGCCCTCTGGAGATCATCCCTTGGTATTGTCAGTCCCCATATGTGAATTCCTACTCTGCTTTTTGGTGAAGGTGACATCCAAACCCTTCTTTTGTTTCTTCCTATTTGGGAGACACATCAGGAAATGCCTTCACAGGTTCAGCATCCCTCTTTTTGCTGCTTGACCCTCCCCTCTGGGGGGATGATGGTTCTTTCCCTATCAGCACCTTTGGGAAACCTTTCAGAAATCTGGGCTTATATTCCCAAAACTCTTCCCTTTCCTTTCTACTTTTGCTTACTTCCACTAGGCCCCTGGGATGAAACAGGGTATAGCACCTTCTTTGGTTCATTGCATTGGTAGGTCTTAGGGCATCCTTCTGCTGCCACCACCTAAGGAAAAAGAATTTGGAAGTTTTTCTGTTAAAGAAAACTCCCAATTACCAGTTTCTTCCCGAGGACCTTTTCTCTGGCAGTCAATTCCACCCCACACTTTTCATAGCAGTCCAGTATACAAGCAGTTTAGTTACAAAGCTAAATTTTGCTTATCTACTTCAGCCATATATTGTTTACCCCTCAAATTGCCCTACACTCCAGGAAGGTTTTACTTACTCTTCTCTTTGGCAAGTGAAGACCATCATCTGTTAGTTCTTCTCTGTTATAATACCGATAATAATAGTAACACCTTTACAGATACTCTGTTTGATTCTCACAATAACCCTGAAGTACATGTTGCTGTTATACCTATTCTACGGATGAGGCAACTGAAGGTGAAAGATTGCGTGACTTCCCCAGAGCCACACAGCTACGATTTGTAGACAAGATTCACCCTGGAGTCTTGACCCCAGGTCCAGCACTCTATCCATCACACTACCTAGCTCGGCCTAATTATTAAGCCCTTCTAGGTTCTGGGCTTGAGGCTATGCTTTTAATCTTCTTGTCTTGGGCCCAGCTAGTCTCTCTTTTTTTAAATTGATGTCTTTTATTTTTATTGATGTCCCTTTCCAAATATATCTAACCCTATCCAGGGAACTGGGGCACTGAGATGGCAAAGTGAATAAAGCACTGGGCCTGAAGTCAAGAAGACTTGACTTTCTCAGCTCAAATCCCTCCTCAGACACTTTTGACCTTGGGCAAGTCATTTCACCCTATTTGCCTGAGTTTCCTTATCTGTAAAATGAACTGGAAAGAGGAATGGCAAACCACTCCAGTGTCTTTGTCAAGAAAACCCCAAATGGGGTCATGAAGAGTCTGACGTGACCACAACTGAAATGACTGAACAAGAAAAACTCAGGGAACCATTCCCCATAACAAAGAATAAGAAAGAGGGGGACACAATAAAATCAACCAAAACATCAATAAGACTTGACAGTATATACAATGATCTATGCTTATAGTCCCCCCCCAACTCAGCAAAGAACGGAAGGAGCTTCCCCACCGTTGCTCGCCTCTTTAGCCTCTCTTTGGGTATCCAGAAGATTGAGGTCCTTTCCAAAGAGGACCTCATGATCTTTGGGTCAAAACTGGCCCCGTAGCCTTCCCTCATCAACCACTCCTGTGTTCCCCTGAATGCCATTTCCTCTTTTCTCTCCCTTTCCCTTCTGGCTGCATTCATGGCTCCTGTTCTCAACAAGCTTACCTCGGCCATTCTGTTCTCTCTTTTCTTAGGCTGTGTCCCTGTGCTCTGGATCTGATTTGCCTTTTATCTCTCTTTTGCCAATCCCTTCCCTTCCAAGCATTCTCTGGCTTTATACAGTTTCTCCCCTCTCCAGATCACCATTGTGCCTTATGTCTGCAGGCTGCTGGGATTCAGATCCCTCAGTTTAGAAATCCAGAGTGCCCGCTGTATTCAAGGCAGTCCTTGCCTACCTTCATTTAAACATTTAAGATTTCAATGTCTGCCTTCCCCCGATCTAGAAATGGAGGGAACATGTTGCCTACAGGCATTGGAGAGCCCAAGTGCTACAGACTGAGAGAAGACAGGCACTTTGTCCTGCTTGCCATCTATCTCCCATGTCCACATCTCCTTTGCCTTGTGTTTTAGAGCTAATAGTTCATCTTTCCTACTGTCCCTTAAGGTGGAGTAGCTGGAGGGGTGCCCTAGGTCAGGGGAGCTGTAGCCATGGGTCAGTCTGTACCTTTGTTTTTTTGAGGGCAGGGCTGGGGGTAAACAGACGGTGCTTTGTTTTAATTCCTGTCCTCTGTATTTCTTCCCCCTTTCCTAAAACCAGCCTCTGAGAATCAAAATGGGAATGGCCTAACCACCCCCCCTGGCCCAGGCAGTGGCCCCCATGCACCCCACACCCCCACTCACCCTATCAGCACCCGAATCACTCGAAGTCAGCCTAGCCACACACCTGCTGGCCCTCCAGGCCCCTCTTCCAACCCTGTCAGCAACGGCAAAGAGACCCGGAGGAGCAGCAAGAGATAGCGAGACGCCCTGCTTCCTCATGAAGACACCCCTCTTCTCTGTCTCCCCACTAGGAACAAAGATTGCCCATTGGGAGCTAGCTGTGTGTGTATGGTATAGGGATATTTTAGCCTCAGACTTGGAGCTGATGTATAGGGGGGCAGTCATCTCTCTCCCTTATTTCTTAAGCCAAACCCCATCCCCCACTCAAGTGAAAGTACTTTGTCTCCTGCCCCTTCATTCTGGGCACTCCAAACCTCCTCTGCCATTTTTAGAAACCAAATTTGGTGTGAGTATGTTAAATGTGTATGATATAGGGGACTTTCCTAATAAATACTTACACCCAGTGTGCCTGACTTTATTTATTTATTTATTTGTTTATTTATTTTTGCGGTCTGTGGCTTTAATGTATGGGGGAAAGTGGAGAGTTGCTGCCTCTGGACTTGGAAAGGGTTGGGGGTATCCTTGGGATGGGAGAAGTCTGGGGAGAGAAATTAGACGAAAGGCATCTTGCAAGGCAGGCCTGCCCTTTAAGGTAAGTGTCCCTCCCCCAGGCTTTCAGCTACTGACCCTTGGCACCCCCCCACCCCTTTTGCTAAAAGTAAGAAGCCTGGATCCTCTTGCATTAGGGCTCCTGACGTCTCTGCTGCGGTCAGGTAATGCCAACCTCTGTCACTGGGCTCTAGGCCAGAAGTGAGGAACCTAGCCTTCTCTCTGTATAAGGGTTTCCCTTCCCTTCCCTAGTCTCTAGATATTTCTGGGTGGAGAATAGGAATGAACCATACCCTTCCCAGTAGTCTAGGACTTGTGGGTTGTTAAGTCTAATAATGCTTGGCTCAGCTTTAGCATTCTTGGATCCTGGTCCTCACCTAAACTAATTCCTGGAAGCAGGGCCACAGGGAGATGAAGAGGCTAGTACTCGTCTCTCCACCTGGGGGGAGGAGGGTGTTTGGCAGGGGTGGGTGCTGTACTTGGAAAAAGAACTGGAAAGTGGGGAACAGTGGGTGTGAAAGGTGGCAAAGATTAGAAGGTGGGGCAGTAGATTCAGAATCTGAGACCTGCACTCCCTAAATTGGCCTTACTTAGTCATATGGTTCCCCAAAAGGGGCAGAGGGTAACCCTTCCCTGTCCAGTGCCCTTCGACCCTAGCACAGAGTCAAGTGAACCATTAACTCCAGATATGAGCCCTCCTACCCTCACTCCGCCCCCAGACAGGTGTGTTAGGGTGGCAGTCCTGGCCTTCCTGACGTGTCTTACACTTCACTTTGGAGATTCAGGAGGCTGAGGCCAGGCTTTCCCTCACAGGACTCCCAAACGAAGAGCTCCCCAAGAGAACCAGACAGGATCTATCCCTAGAGACTGACAGACCTGCGTGGAAAGTTCTCACACTGCTAGTGTGGGTGAGGCCCAGGGAAGGTGGGGTTAGGGAGGCCTGAGCAGTGCAAAGGGCAGAAGGGATGAGGAATGGGGTATCGATGGGATCCCATTTGAGGAGGGAAGCTGGGGGAGTAAGGGTCTGGAAAGGGGGAATCCAGAAGGATTCTTCCTTCTGGATGTTGGCAGACGGGGGTGGGGTGGGGGTAGTGCTGATAATGCAGGGGTCAGTACTGTGCTATGAGAAGGAGATACTGGGAAGGAGGGAGATGGGGTTAGGCTGGACTAGAAGTAGGTTAGAATGGAAAATGTGACTGTGGGGGCCACAGGTAAAATAAAGAATAAATGAGAGTATTACAAGATGGGCAGGGGGACTCTTAAGTGGCTTTGAATGTGGGGGGAAGTTTTTTCTGAACTCCCCTCTACCCTTATTCTCTCAGGTGTGCTAGGCCCCAGGATGCCCCAGAGGGAATAGAAGTCCAACACTTGAAGCCTCACCTGTGGGGACTACCTTCCCATTCTCCTGCTCCACCATGGGGCCCCTGTTGGCTGGACTGTGTGTTTGGGTGGCTCTAGGGTGGGTGGGGGGTTTGGACCCCTCCACAGCTCCTGTAGCTCCCTTGGGTCCTGCTGAACAGGAGCAGGGACATTATCTGGCACAGCTGTTTGGCTTATATGGAGAGAATGGAACCCTGAGTATCAGTGGTCTTGCCAGGCTCCTTCATAGCCTAGGCCTGGGTCGGGTTCAGGGACTTCGACTGGGACATTCAGGACCCACAGGGGGTAGGGCTGGGCCCCCCCCCTGGGGACAATTCCACACACAGGTACTAAGTCCCCAGAGCACCAAATCACCTAGCTTCTGTTGTGTGCTGAGGCCCTCCAATCTTCAGTTCCCAAGTTCCCCAAATTTTCCATTCCCTCAGTGCTATTCTCCCCAATTCTCAGTCCCTGAATAAATCCCAGTCCCCATTTCATACCCTCAGTCCTTCCGATCATTGTTCTCCTAGCTCTCCAATCTGCCACTTTACTATCTCCCAATCCAATCTCACTTTTTTTCTATTTGTGAATTCCCAAATCTTCCCCAATGCTACAGTCCTTAAAATCTAGACTCTGGAGGCCATAGCCCCTATCCCACCCCCACCCCACTACCTCCAACCTCATGCCCTCTTGACCTCCTGATAAGAAGTGCTTTTCTAACATTTCTGGAAGAGGTTTTCTGAGCCCACAGATGACCCTTTCCATTTCTTATTGCCATCCTTTTCAGGCCATTAGCCCCCTGGGCTGAGTGTGGATGTCTGGACAGGATTACCCCTGGGACCCTCAGAATGGAGGGATCCAGAGAAGCCAGGGGCCTCCCACTTGCCCCAGGGGCCACCATCTCCTGGTCTTGGCCTCTTTCACAGGCTGCTGCTGCTGGACCATTCACTGTCTGACCATCTTAATGAGGATGTGAGTAGGGGAACCCTGAGGAGGGAAAAATTAGGAGCCTTTCATTAACCACAAGTTTAATATGAACCAATAGCCATCTTACTCTGCATTAACAGAAGGATGGTGTCCAGAGCATAGAAACAGTATGTTATCTGCAATAATCAGCTGCTCATTAGGACCAGAACCCTTTGGTTAATAACAGTCTCTGGAGAATTATGTCTAAGTTTAGTCACCACATTTGAAGGACTCTTGACAAAGTAGAGAACGACTAGGCAAGGGTTAGGTGACCAATATGAAAACAGTTTTTAGCCTGCAGAATGGGGAGAGAGGTATAATCACTGTCACCATATATCTAAAGGATGTCTCATTATAAATTGCTCAGAGACCAGAGTAAGTCAATTGGACAGTAATTACAGGGAGATAGCAAAAAATAAATTTGTAGAAATGAGCTTTCCAGTTATTGGACTGAATTAATAGTGACTTTCCTGCCACTAGAGATTGCTATAGTCTAAATAAACTTTAAGGACCCTTCTCTCTCTCTAGGACTCTCAGATTTTAGAATGGGTGAGACAACAGAATCATCCACTCACAGAAAGTACCTCAGCTGTTGACTTGGGATATATGTGGGAAACAAGGATTATTTGTCTGTCATTTCCAAAGTTATTATATGCAGACCATACTTTGGCCAGCATTTCCTCACCTCCACATGCATGTAAATCTCCCTTATCCTCTCCTCCCAGTTCCTCGTGTGTCCATTTGTGTTGGTTCTGCCTTAAAAGACCAGGACAGACGTGGTATATGTTACCCAAGGGCTTCAAGAGCCCCTTGGCCCAGGAGTTGAAACCTTGGGGGAGATGCTGTTGGGGGCAGAGTTTTAAGGTCCTCAGTCACTATCCCCAAGGGTCCTCTGATCTCTGACCTCCAAATTCCCCAGTGTCTAAATGGCTCCCAGCTTCTCGTCAATTTTGGCTTAAGCCCAGCCACTCCACTGACTCCCCGTCAGTTTGCCCTTCTGTGCCCAGCCCTGCTCTACCAGATCGACAGCCGAGTCTGCATCCAGACCCCAGATCCTTCCCCTCAAGGGGACTTACTGTCAGGTCAGTGACCTAGGTGGGTAGAAATTTCACTGGGGGTGTGTTGGTAGTGATGTCCCCATTAAACTTGGATACCTCATTCTCAGTGGAGAGTTGGGTACCATGCTTGGGCAAAGAGATCAGACTGAAGCCCCCTACTTTTCCTGCACCCCCTTTTAGTCCTTATTCCCAACTGTCTCCTCTTTGAGACTTTCCTAGCCCCAGCCTGACCTTTGACTGTACACCACCCTCTCCCTACCCCCACCCCCAGCCCTGGCCTATAGTGCTCTGGCTGTCCTGGTGCTCAGCGCTCTGGCTCCCTTCTCCATACTCCTGTTACGACTCCTGGGGTCCTGGCTGCTGCATCCTCTGCTGGGCTTCTTGGGGGCACTGGCTGTGGGCACACTTTGTGGAGATGCTCTGCTGCACCTGCTGCCGCACGTATGTGACATATAACCCCAGACCTGAGATTCTCCAATCTTCCCATGGGTTTCAATCTTGGTTTTTTGTTCCAATTGCTTTTGAGCATCTCATTTCCTTGTTTACTCGGTGCGCCCCCTTCTCTCCGAATTCATGGGTTTTTTCGGAGAGAAATATGAGTTGGGGGAAAGAAGCTGTCTTGCTCTGAGGGTTGGGTGAGGCTTCCTCTCGGATGGAGATTCTTCCTGGGCCTCTGCTTCATCTTCCAACTTCCACGTCTCAGGCTCAGGGCGGACGTCATGGGGGGGACCTAGGACCTGGATTAGCTGTGCTGGGAGGCCTCTTCCTCCTCTTTGTCTTGGAGAATCTACTTGGGATTTTTCGGCATGGTGGGCTGCAATCAGTGAGTAACTCCTCTCCTACCTATAAGCCCCAAATCCATTCATTCAACTGTCTACAAAATAGGCAGAGGTGGGGATAGGGGTGGGGAGGAGTAAGGGGTAATATCTTCCTCCCATTACGAGCTGCCCATATGGTGGCAGTTCCTTTCTCCTTACCTCCTGACAGTGTCCAGGGATCCTACCTCTTTTTCTTTTCTGAGGGAGACAAGAAACCAAGAGAGAAGGATGGCCCGTCAATGTCAATGATGAAACCAGATGTCGCCCTTCAGCCCTCTGGCTTTCCTTTTTTCCCCTCTTAAATCTTGGTCTCACTTCGGTTTTAGAGATGCTGTAAGCAAACAAGAAGAGGTCCTGGAATTCAGGACCTAGAAAATGGCAGGGGAACAGTTCTTCAGCCCTTGAGGGAAGGCCCAGGTGAGTCCTAAGTGGAGCCGGACTTTGGGGAAAGGACAAACAGGGGTCGAGGTTCCCCAAATTCAGTGGTAGTATCCAAACTCTTTATTTTTCTACCTATAGATGCTGTGACTGAAGGACCACAGGAGCTGGGTGGCCAACTTTCCCCAGGCCCACTCCCACTCCAACATCACGGACATAGCCATGGGCACCCAAGCCGTGGGAATGCTCAAGTCACATGGATGGTCCTGCTGGGAGATGGACTTCACAACTTCACTGATGGGCTTGCCATTGGTGAAAGAGAGGGCCCATTGGAAAGGGGATGGGAAGACAGAGGACTGGACTGGGTGGCTGGGTACTGGTGAGGGAGAAGGGGAATGGGAATATGGGTAAGAAATGATACAACTGGTGAGGCTGAGTGGAGGACTTCTAGGTAGAGTACAGAGCTACCTATAGTAAGCAGAGCCTGTCAGGGACGAATAACTGACTCATGATCCCTTTATGTCTTACTTTCAGGGGCTGCCTTCTCTGATGGTTTTTCCAGTGGTATCAGCACTACCCTGGCTGTCCTCTGCCACGAGCTTCCCCATGAATTGGGTAGGGAGATGATAGAAACAAGGCACTAATGGAGAAGGAAGGCCAGAATACCACCCCCTCTACACACACACACCCCAGTTGTGGATTGGGGATTGGAGGGTAGTGATCACGGAGAATAGAGGCCTGTCTTGGGTGGTAGTGGTAGGGAGATGCTGGGTTAAGCTCAGGCTGAGAGTTGCCTTATTCTGCCATCACCTTCCTCTTCCCAACAGGTGATTTTGCTATGCTACTCCAGGTTGGGCTACCCTACAAAAGGCTTTTGCTGTTAAGCTTGGTGTCAGGGGCCCTGGGGCTGTGTGGTGCAGCCCTAGGAGTGGGTCTCAGCCAGGGCCCTGCCCCATTCACTCCCTGGGTTTTCGGGATCACTGCTGGGGTCTTCCTTTATGTGTCGCTTGTGGATATGGTAAGGGGGCATGGAGCTGGCACCGTTAAATATGGAAATTTAAAAAAGGGGTGGCAAGGAATATCATTGTAAATTTGTGGTGGTGGTTGGGTGGTGTCCCGTTCTGCACTCCTGCTCCCTCCCCCCTTCATGCTCAAAGAACTTGGGTAGATAGAAGAACAAAGTGAGTAGCCCTAAGGGGAAGGGCCCTGGAAATTGCCAAATATCACCTCTAGGCCTTTTCTGCTGCCCAAGGCCATGGATCTGACTGCCATTTCTTTCCTTCAGCTACCTACCCTGCTTCATCCCCCAGAACCCCTGCCTACATCCCACATCCTGCTGCAAGGGCTGGGACTGCTGCTGGGTGGATGCCTCATGCTGACTATTGCCCTGTTTGAGGAGCAGCTGCTTCCCCTGCCCTTAGATGGCTGAAGTGGAACCACAGAAGGAGGGGGTCATGGTTCCTCTCCTTTCCCCACCGCCCCCCTCCACCCCAGGAACAGAGGCCGGACACAGGGCCAATAGGAGCAATAGGACTTTAATAAACAGAACCCATCCCAAAGCCATGATGACTTAACAGTTGTTCTCACACCAAAAGAGGGTAGAAAACCAAGGTCTGGCCTGAGGCTCAGAGCAGGAGGCCATGGGGAGGGAAAGGAGGGGTCTTTCTTCCACCTGTCCCTCCACCCCCAGCCTAGGTTTGATGGGGGCATGGGTATGTCCATTTGCAGGGAGTCTTTGTGCTTTACCCCAGGGCTAGGGGGACTGCATGTGATGCCCCTCCCAGCCCCCTCTCCCCATGCTGCCCTTGACACTCTGGGTGTTTGCATCCCAGGCAGAATCTCTACCTGTATTGTTGCCCAGTAGTTCTAGACCCTCTCCCTCAGACCCCTCCCCGATTCCAACACTAGCACCACGGTTTGGGGCAGGGAGGAGAGGCAGGTGTGACAATTGCTTAGAGAAAGATTCAACTAGAATCCAGTGAATTGTGCTCAGTTCTCTTTACTTCCTACAACCGAGTACATGGGTCACGGGGTGGGGTTGGGGGGAGTAAGGGACGTGGTACATCCCCTCTGCCCCCCAACACACCTGCACACAGGATGGTGGTGTTTGCAGCATCACAGGTCATGCAGGTCATGAGGGGAGAGGAGCAGACACACAGACACCCACAGTGGGCACCATACAAAGAACACTCTCATGCCCCCATATACACAGCTGTACATGAGGAAATCCTCAGGCCCCATTCTTCCCTCTCCCCTGTCTTGCTTGGCTCCCAGGAAGGGGGAACTGTATTGCTTTGAGAGAGCCACCTTGGGGGGGAGGAGCCGCTAGCAAAGCAGCCCCACTTTATCCCCACCCCCACCCCAATTTGGCACATCTGCAAGACACATAGCATTGAGGGTAGGTACCCTCACTCCTGGGCTCCCATGGCTTAAGGGAGGATTTTGTTCTCCATTCTTTTCCTATCTTCAATAACTGACCCCTCTCCAGCCATATTCCCCCCTCCCTTGGCCCTGGACACATACACAATGCTGAGATATCCAGGTGTGACAAGAGGATGAGGAGATTAAGGGTGGGGAACAGGGTTTGGAAGCAGAGACCCCACCCTGGAGTGGGGGCAAGACTGGCACAAAGCTACTTTAGTGCAATTGGAGATGGTGCCCAGAATGAGGGGGAGCCAGTTCCCCAGGAGCCAAGACGAGTTCCTTGGCTCCCGGGGGAAGGGAGGCTCAGAATGGGCAGTCCAGTGCTCAGGCCCAGGGGGAGTGAGGGGGGTGGGAGGACTGGGACTGGGAAGAATCCACCCTCACTAGTACATGCCCTCCCAAGTGCTAGGTACGGTTTCTATCACTTCACACAAATGGGCAACAGCAGCCTTGGAGTTAGTACCTTCAAGTAGTTAAAAAAAAGCAGCACCCCCCACTACCACCCCTCCCAGCCCCTGCCCTCCCCAAACCTGGCGTTTGGTCACTTCTCTGGGAAGGGGTTTGGGGGAGACAAGCCAGACCCTCCTCTCAGACCTCTGGCCTTGGACCTCAAGTATTCATTGCCTTGACCCTTACTCACCAGTGGAGTGCCAACCTGACCATGCTAAGGACCCCTTGGACGGAGAGGGCTGGAACCACTTTTTACCAGGCAGAGGAAGGGGCTGCTTTGTTCTCCTCCCCATCCCCCACATTCTGAAAAGATAGGGGTGAGGAGATCCCCAAACTATTGTTCCCCCCCATGGGGGGGCTTCCGGGCTATTGTCTGTAAGGCTATTTTCCTTTGTTGGAATGGGGAAGGGGGAGAGGATTAACACACACTGGGGACTGGGGTTGGGTATGGCCAAGGAGGGGAAAGGAGGGAAGGACTTCCTTACTGGAACATGAGGTCTGCTGGAGCTGTTGTTAACAAAGAAACACTTGTGTGCATAATATTCAAAGATTCACCTTCTCCCCTCCAACTGACCACCCATCTACTGCTCTCCAGCCCAGCTCTCAGGACCACTTCAAGGACTCTAGAGAAGATACTGGGGGCTCTGCAGAACATTACCCATGACCCTCATGTCCTCATTTCCCCTTCCAGGCCAAGGGAACGTATGGGTGGTCCAGTGGGGCAACATTGGTGGACATTGGTGGAAACAGTATTGAGTTTTCCTTTGGTTACATATTGAAGGCAAAGGTGAGCTGGACTTACAGTCTAAACGGAGGGGGTGAAGAGAGGGAAAGGGTCCTGGGGTGAAATGAAGGAAGGTAGGCCCTCCTTCATTCTTCTACCCCAAGAAACACAAGTCTTATTGGGGGTGGGGGTCCCTCAGTATTATCTCCCCCACCCCCCACAGCACCAAACAAGAAGAATAGAAGCCCCTCCCCTCCCCTATGGGCTGCCCCCCCCCCAACCTGGGCTGTACATTCAGTGGTTTTCAGCAGTCCTATGGCTCGGGGGTTGCAGGGTAGGGGAGGAAGCCCCATCAGTCTCAGCTGGACAAGTGGCAGTGACCCTGGTCTATCTGTTCTACCAGGACCCACAATTTGTGCCTTTCTTTTTTTGGGAGAGGGAGTACCCCCCCTCCAACTGCCCAATGTCCCTCAGATCAGAAAAGCCCCCAAAATCAGAAACTAAAAACTGGCTCTCATTAGCTGTCTTTCCATTTTCCTACCCATTTCCTTTGTCTGTCTCCTCCATAGCGCTCTTTGCTGGGACTCTGGGGCTGCTCTCCAGGACCTCTCTAGAGAGGCCTTTTCCACAAAAAGTGCTTATTACTTGAAGCAAGTGCTTTAGAGCTTTTTTTTGGGGGGGGGAAGGGAGGGAAGGGAGGAGAGCCTAGGGAAGGAAGGGGAAAGAGAGGTCTACTCCGTCCCCTTCCTGGAGAAGGACTGGGGGCCATTCTGCCTTTGTTTAATTTCTCCACACCCGTTTAAGTCAAAAAGGTTTAAAAAAAACCCTGAAAATTAAAATAAATATGCAGTGGCCATGAGTATGGGACAAGATGCTTCAAAAACAACAGGGGCTTGGGAGCCCAGGGCGGGGCAGGGAATTTCCTTTGGCATAAGGAGAGGAGGCTGCTCATCCCCCAGGCCCCCTCACCAATGACATGAGGAGGGGCAAAGGGTTTCCCCCTATTTCCCCAGCAATGCTGACACTGCGCTGAAGGGGCAGCCACCAGAAATCTCTTCTAGCAAAATAATGGGGCGCTTTGCAGACGCTCAGATTCTTACTGATGTGGCTGAGCATCAATAAAGGAGAACACGACTGACACACAGATGGGCCCCTCTGGAGAACCTGGGTTGTCCCCTCCACTCAACTCCCTGTGTCACAATGAGAATGGGGAGGGAGAGTGAGAAGGCTTCCAAGAAAATCAGCAGAGCGGGCTGTCGAGTGCACTTGGAAAAGCCAGCAGGGATTGTTTTTGAGGGGAGGGGCTGCAGCCCTTAGAGAGAGGTCACATTGATTGTCATTTAGGGAAGAAGGGTGAGTGTGGGAAGGACATAGGGGAAAGGGGCAGCACAAGGCCCTTTGGCTTTAACAGGATCGAAAACTAAAAGCTGCACAATCCTTCTCACCAATAATGGTCATTTAGAAGTTCTGAAATGGTTTTAGAACAGTGATGGGGTGGGGGGTGGGGAGGTGAAGAGAATAAGGGGGAACAGAGATAGTGGGGAAAACAAAGAGACCAAGAGGAATGGCAGAGATGAGGTCTCAGACAAGCTACAGAGAAATGGATACATGAAAAGTTAGGGGTGTTGGAGAGGAAGGGGGCCCTGGGATGTCCCCTAATGCCCCAACATCATTCTAGGCAGAGATGGCAGAACACAAGTCTAAAACAGAAGAGTAAGTAAAACTGAAGAATGCAAGCAAGACTGGGGGTGGGGTAGGCCCTTGTGTTTCTCTGTGAGGGGACAAAGCACTACGTAAATGAGGCCAGTCCAGTTTTCAGGAAACAATACTGATGGCAACTAGGGGATACTGAGGGAGGGGAAGGGGTATGGCCTCTGTTCAAGTTATGTGTCTTGGCTCCTGGCTGAGGTATTGCATGTGAGGAAGGGAACACTGGATGGAAAGGCTCAGGGGAATATTCTGGGAGGCTTAGCTGGGAGATGGATGGTTAGGGCATTTAAGGGGACCAGGGCCAAATGCAATGCTACATTTAGAGAAAAATTTGCCCCCCTCACCTTCCCTAGTTTGGTGTTTAGGGTGGGGCTTTAGGAATCCTGTTAGTACAGCCCCTCCCCCTCCCCCACACACCCCTGTCACTGGGAGTCAGGGACTCGGTTCTGCCTTCCCACTTCTAAGCCAAGGGCCCGAGCTCTGGAGGAGGGCTCTAATCTGCCCCTGCCCCTCCCACCATCTTTGGCTTCAGATCAGCAGTGATTGGGGGTGGGTGTGTTCTTGAACATAAGGGGATGGTAGAGGCAAAGAGGGAGGCCCAGAGGAACTATGGATAGGGAGGCCCTCCTTCCACACACACATACGAGCACATGCTTGAAACATACACAGAGAATACAAGAGGGCTGTGGCTTTGAAATGGACAGGAAATTCATCTGTTTCTTCTACTACAGGGTGAATGCTTACTTAAAAATTCATGACGAGCCTAAGTGGAGAGCTGAGGAGGAGGGAAGCCATAGTGTTGCTCTCCCCCCCCAAAGGAGCTAAAATGAAGAAGCAAGGTTAAAGTGCACGGTGAGGGGGCCAAGAAGGGCCAAGCTGGGGGAGGGGGGCAGAGCCAGCCCTTGATTTGCATATGAGGAAATGGGGAGAGAAGGGAGCAGGTTTCAGAGTCCCAGGTACAGTAGTTGTTGCTTCAAGTGTTTTGCATTTGAATTGGAGGGGGTGGGGGGAGACAGGGTAGATTGGAGGGAGAGGAAGAAGCTCCAGGCCTCAGTGCTAAAAGTCTTCCCCCCACCACCCAACTGCCCCTAAGGGGAGTGGGGAGACACCTCCAGAGTGCTCACACAGTACCAGAAATTAAGGCTTCTCACTGCTTCGGGGGTAGAGAGGCTAGCCGAGCAGGAAGGGCAGTGATCAGGATGGGGACAGGTAACTGCCTGGCTCCAGGGGCAGGAAAACTGGAGAGAGGACAAAA